TATGCTTAATTAAAAATGCTTCTCCAAATATTCCATATAAGTGCAATGATGATAGTAGACATCGTAGAAACACGAGGAGACTCTGGATTCTGTCCTAAAAAGAAAATATGCTCCTAATCTCCAGGGGAAATTGGAGACTCCCTGCATGGCTGGTACCAACAATCTACTCAGATAGGCTTGCAGGGGTGTGGATACAAGAAAAGACTCTTCGGTCAATCATGAGTCTGGTGACAGGCTCTCTGTATCAGTGTCTGCTTGTCATTTATAAGTCACACATGGGCATGTTTAAAAGAATCCAACTATACATTGACATGTTCAAATACAAATGCATTCTCTGTGTGTTTTTTATGAGAACATGTGTTGATGCTTTTCCGCAAGGCAGATTGTAACTTATATTATCAGAAATGATTTTGCCATTGTCACAATGTTTAGGTCCTTTGTTATTGTCAGGAAAAATGCGGAACTTGTCCCTGTTTGTGCCTGACAGGGAGCAATTGTCATTGTACTTAGGTACTACAACAGATGTAAAAACAGTCCTCAGAGATCTGGTCCTTACCTGCACTGGCCCTGCTTACTCCATCATACTCTGATACATACTGAGGTTGAGTTTGTCCCAGAAAAGAAGCTGTGGTCCTGGGAGAATGAGGTTATCATGGAGTCACAGAAAACAGGTCATTCTTCAGTTTCATCCTCACCTTCAGAAACCCATCTGAGGAAGAGTTGTCCCCAAGACTGAATTTTGTGTTAAAAGTGACAGTGGTACTTGAAGTTCTAGCTATTGCCATATGACAACAAAGGGGGATCAAGGGGATACAAATTGGGAAGGAAGAGGTCAAACTTTCACTGTTTGCAGACGATATGATAGTTTACATCAATGACCCAAAGAACTCTACCAAGTAACTCTTAGAGCTGATTAACAACTTCAGCAAAGTGGAAGGCTAAAAGATCAACTCAAGAAAATCAGTAGCCCTACTATATACAGATGATAAAAGGGCTGAAAGAGAAATCAGAGAAACATCACCCTTTACAATTGCCACAAACAACATAAAATACCTTGGGGTAACGCTAACCAAACAAGTGAAAGACCTGTATCATGAGAACTTTGAATCTTTAAAGAAAGAAATTAAAGAAGCCCTGAGAAAATGGAAAGATCTCCCATGCTCTTGGATAGGTAGGAGCAATGTAGTAAAAATGGCAATCCTGCCAAAAACAATCTATAGATTCAATGCAATCCCCATTAAAACCCCAGGACAATTGCTCACAGACCTTTAAAGAACAATAATCAATTTTGTATGGAAAAACAAAAGACCCAGGATAGCCAAAACAACCCTGTTCAACAAGGCAACGTCCGGAGGCATCACCATCCCTGACCTCAAGCTCTATTATAGAACTATAGTCCTGAAAACAGCTTGGTATTGGCTCAAAAATAGACAGGTAGACCAATGGAATCGAATTGAAAATCCGGGTATTAACCCACACACGTATGAACATCTGATCTTTGATAAAGAAGCTAAAAATATACAATGGAATAAAGAAAGCATCTTCAACAAATGGTGCTGGCATAATTGGAGACTGGCATGTAGAAGAATGCGGATCGATCCATGTGTATCGCCATGCACAAAACTTAAGTCCAAATGGATCATAGACCTCAACATAAATCCAGCCACACTGAACCTCTTAGAAGAGAAAGTGGGTGGTACCCTTGAACGAATTGGTACAGGAGACAGCTTCCTGAACATAACACCAGTAGCACAGACAGTGAGATCGACAATTAATAAATAGGTCCTACTGAAACTGAGAAGCTTCTGTAAGGCAAAGGACACAGTCAGCAAGACAAAAAGGCAGCCCACAGAATGGGAAAAAATATTCACTAATCCCACATCTGACAGAGGGTTGATCTCCAAAATTTGCAATGAACTCAAGAAGCAAGTCTCCAAAACACCAAAGGACCCAATTAAAAAGTGGGCTGCAGAACTAGAGAGTTTTCAATAGCTGAGTCTAAAATGGCTGAGAGGCACTTGAGAAAGTGCTCAATATCCTTAGCCATCCGGGAAATGCAAATCAAAACAACTCTGAGATATCATCTCACTCCTGTCAGAATGGCTAAAATCAAAAACACCAATGACAATTTATGCTGGAGAGGATGTGGTGAAAGGGGGACACTCCTCCATTGCTGGTGGGAGTGCCAACTGGTTCAGCCACTTTGGAAATCAGTATGGAGATTCCTCAGAAAAATGGGAATAAACCTACCACAAGACCCAGCAACTCCACTCTTAGGCATATATCCAAAAGATGCCCATACATACAACAAAGATGTCTGTTCCACTATGTTCATAGCAGCTTTATTTGTAATAGCCAGAACTTGGAAGCAACCTAGATGTCTCTCACCCGAAGAGTGGATAGAGAAAATGTGGTACATCTACACAATGGAGTACTATTCAGCAGAAAAACATAATGGTATCATGAGATTCGCAGGCAAATGGATGACACTAGAAGAAACCATCCTGAGTGAGGTAACCCAGTCACAAAAAGAACAACATGGCATGTACTCTCTCATATATGGATTTTAGATATAGATCTGGTGAGTGCCTGCCTACAATCCTATGGCCAGAGAGTCTGGGAAACAGAAACTTCATTTAGTGGCTGATCGAAGAAGAGGCAGACTCCCTTGGTTAAGTACTGAGCTGAACTCAAGAAAGCCAGTAACAGAGAGGGAGGACTGGTGATCAAAGTGATTAAGACTGGGCTGGTTTAATCCCCAGAAACAGCTGACCAGACAAAGGTTAACTCTTGAATCCCAGGCATCAGCCTGGGAATCCAGCATGGGACTGATCAAGACCCCCTGAATCTGGGTGTCAGTGAGGAGGCCTAGGGAATCTATTGAGCCTTGGGCAGCAGATCAGTACCCATCCCAAGTATACACACAGCCTTTGGACTCCCATAGAACAATGTGAGGTGCACTCTCACCCTGAACTCTTGGGGAAGGGTCTAGGCCCTGCCGTATATGAAATGACAGACTATGGACACCCCCATGGAGGGCCTCACCCTCCCTCGGGGAATACAGGTATAACGGGGGGGGGTTGGGGGAAGGGCACGGGACGAGGGGAGGGAATGGGAGAGGGACCTGGAACTGACTTGTGAAGCAACCTCATTTCTTATTTAAATTTAAACTGGAAAATAAAATATAAAAAAAGTGACAGCCACATACACTGTGATGACTACACCGAGGGACACCTCAGTTAGGCAAACAGCACTTCTGCTGTGGTCTCAGGAAGAGCATTAGAGCTATCTCCAGCAGGAGTCCCACAGCAGCCTGGAACTGTGGGTCAGACCAGAAGCAGGTGCAGAGGGAGCTAAGCATTTGTTTCCTTTGGGACCTTGAGCTTAACCTGAATATAACACTTTCCCTTAAAAACCCCAAAATTCGATATGTTGACCTATCAAAATAGAAAACAGTTTTAGAAGTGTCTGTTTCCTTTATAAGCACACATACTCATCTTTACTCATGCAGTTTGTCACTTATATGAGCAGAAATAACCCTGCCATTGTCTCCAGGGTTAGACACTGAGAAATCCTGAGGGCACCTGGTGATTTCATTGTGATGAGAGACAGCTCATCATTGGCATTCTGTGTTTAATCTTTGGGATTCAGACAGGAGCCCACAATCAGTGAATAAAGTTACAAAAATTTCACATCTGACATGGCTCAGTCTATATTGTTTGTACCCCAATCCCGGAGATGATCTGGACTTTTCCTCTGACAATGAATTTCTATTTTTTTCAACTTAAACTAATTGAAACAAGCAACTAATTGTTGTTCTTTTCCAATGGAATTCTGAGACTTCCTTTTAACCCAAACTCTCTCATCAAGATCAGATCTCACCAGAAAGTGTAAAGCTGTCACAGAGAAGTCTTTCAGTGTGTTAATGGACACATTCAATGACTAGTTCTCCCTAAAGCTGAGTTCCGCTAACACTGACATCAGCCTTGCAGTACATTGTAGCAAGCATAGTAAGCAGGTACCCTGTGTGCTCAGAAACAACCTCATTTTGAGGATGCTCAGGACCAGAAGAAGGCACTGCACAACCAACTTTCACCAGGAAAGAATGTCGTAGGTGAGAGAAACATCTAGAGAGTGAGGGAGTCATCTGAGACCCAAAAGTTTCCTTGCACTTCATCATGTACTTTTATTCATAGTTGTACGTAAGGATGCAACATCTAAGAACTACTAAGGAGAGTCACATTTAATGTCTGATTTCTAAGATGGTCACATTTTAACAGATTTTTCTCTAGCTGCATCCATTTTTCCATAACTGACGTAATCTCCAAATTCCTTGTACATGAAAAATTTCCATTGTGTTGATAATATAAACGTGTCTTCTTGATGAGGTTCTCTGTTGAGAGATACATAATTTAGTTATTTTGACATTGCTGCAATAAGCACTGTTGTGCAAATATTCTGATGTATATTTGTTTTGGTTCATTTCAGACAGTTTTGTAGTGTATGGCTTGTTGGAAAGGCAAATATTAACTGCATATATCAGAAAGGAGGTTGGAAAGTTCAAACTCAGCATGTTTTAAATTTCCCACCACTGTCATTATAATCACAGCCACCATCTGAAAATCAGTCTGATAACCTTGTTCCAAGTGGATCCACTCTATTAGGTCTGATAGTTATTGAGAGTTAGGTCATAATATTACTTCCTCATCATCTGCAGAGGACCCAGGAAAAAAGGATACTATATATATATATATATATATATATATATATATATATATATATTTTCAAGAGAAGTAGGACTGGGTCCTCAGGATCCTGCTGCTAGATCCAGGTGTCCTCTAACTTGTTCTCCAGTAGGACCAGATCCTCATTCAAAAATTACCATTTTCATGAATATGCAAATCACATGAGTGTATGGTGGTAAATACAGAGATGTCCACATCACCCCCAACATATCATCAGTGTCCTCTACACAGTTACTGAACATACAGGTCCTCAACATGGGATGGAGTTGTATCACACTCTTCCTTTTGTCAGTAACTACAGGTAAGGTGCTCTTAGTTCCAAACCCGGAGAAGAAACTGGGTTTTATGTGACAATGACCCCTACTCTGTATTTTTCTCTACAGGTATCCAATCACAGGTCCTGCTGCAACAGTCTGGGCCTGAGCTTGGGCGACCTGGTTCCTCAGTGAATTTGTCATGCAAGGCTTCAGGCTATACTTTCAGTAGATACAATATGAACTGGGTGAGACAGAGGCCTGGACAGGGCCTGGAGTGCATTGGATGGTTTGTTACTACAAGTGGTAATACTAAATATGCACCAAATTTCCAGGGCAAGGACACACTGAATAGAGATGTATCCTCCAGCAAGGTGTACATGGAGCACAGGAGCCTGACATCTGAGGACTCTGCCATCTATTTCTGTGCAAGACACACAGTGTTGCATCCACATCCTGAGTGTGTCAGAGACCATAGAGTAGCAGGAAACTTCACAAGAATGGATATGACAGAGAAGATCAGTCTGGGGACTTGCTCAGAAATAATCATTCTAGAGTTCTCTTCTCTGCCTCCTTGTCAAAGACCTATATTGCTTAATTCAACTTTGCAAAACACATGTGAGTAAAAAGTGGTTTTGACATAGGATGCCTCTAGAGGACTCCATATCATGAGAAAGTGTTGGCCAGTGAATGCCTGAATTAACACAGTTCTTTAATAAAACAATAAAAAGGAAAAAACTGTGATGATGAATTATGATAAAAATACATTTTTATCTTGAGTGATGTGTCATTTTGTAACAAGAACTGAGAATAAAGTATAATGCACATTTGACCTGTGCAATCCAAATCACCAACACCTGACAAATAAAAGCTCCTTTCACAGTGTTAAGTCTTAAGTGACCTCAATGTGGTTTTTTGGCAAAAGTTCCCATATCATAAAATGAAAGACATATTTATGTCAGAATTCACTGCCTTTTTTGGTATGATTTTCATAAATTGGACAAATGCATTATTACATTACTTTCAGGATCACATTTATCAACACATTATATATATATATATGGAATTGAGGTACATTCTGAAATACTCCTTCGTCACTTATGTTCTAGTGCCACATTTATTGCCTTCCTGTCCATGTACCCAACTCTACAGTATCAAGTCTTTAGATAACATGGACCAACATGATACAGCATTAAGTCTTTTGTAACCTGCTGATGATATAGTGTATCTTATTTTCAACAAATTTGTGAGTTATAACCAACATGTCAACAAATGGTACTTGGGAGTCTCAAGTGTTTGATGGAATGTGATGTCTCATATCATAGAATATTAATTTTGCATGTCCCTGAAGTGTACAACCTCCATGACCAGTATGAATACAATGTGCTTAACATGGGTGAAATCTATGCTGAATGCATTGTGGCCCGCATGGATCCCCTAGGCCAATTATATGTTAGAGATTTTTGCAAACCCATGCTGAATTTAAAATACTGCTTGACCCAACAATCACTATATAAAACACTCTCCTCTCTTCCTCCAACTGAAGAGCAGGGACTGAGCAGAAGTTTTGAGATTCTTCCCCTACTGGACCCTGTCTGAATGGGATTCTCTGATGTACCAGGAAGGCATCTTTGAGTGGCTATATAAACTTGACTTCAGGACTTATATCCTGTCTTCTGGAGAAATCAGTTTGAAGCCAAAACCCCTCACACTGCAAAGTTTCCTGCTTTGTACAGACACTTGGGAATCAGTGTGGCTGTTCCACAGGAGGCTGGGAGGAGATCTATCCCATCATCCAAAAACACCACTCTTGTGCTTATACCCAAAGGGCTCTACATCTGACTGGAGATACTGTCTCAGCCATGGTCATTGCTGTTCTATTCATAAAACCAGAATTAGAAACATCATAGATGTCTGTCAGTAGAAAATAGGTGAAGAAAATATGGTACAATAACTGAAAACCCTTAGATCTATATTCATGACATGCCTACAGGACAGTGTGAAGCAATTGTGTCCAAAAGATTGAGGAATGAATCACCCAGACAGGGTTTCTCTGTTTTGGAGGCTGTCGGTCCAGCCTGGCCTCGAACACACAGAGATCCACCTGCCTCTGCCTCCCGAGTGCTGGGATTAAAGGTGTGCACCACCAACGCCCGGCCACCCAATCTCATATTATATTTTAGCCTCACTTCATGTGACATAATGAATCTTAACATTATGTTGGGCAAGAACCTAGGAACAGACTGGAGAAATCTACAGTAAAGACACGCATACAATGTACTTTGATGCAGTAGAATCTAAAATATGTGGAAATAATCTACCAATATCAGATTATGGTTAAAGAATGGAATGTTATGGTTATGAGATGGAATCAATTCTGACACTGTGTTGGCCAAGAACCTAAGATTAGGTAGTTGGAACATGGGAAAATATTCCTGTTATCCTTAATGAACTATCAATATAACATCCAAGGAATTCTGCTATATTCATTGAACACTGTGTTGTTCACTCATTATTAGAGAACCTCCTGCAATTGTGGAAAATGTAGAGACAAGCTGGACAATGTGCCAAAAGTGAGTGACCTTGGAACATTCAATGTAATGTCTCCTTCAAATCTGTCTCCACAGAGTTTAGGGAACAATCAAAGGAGGATGCTGATGGATTATAAATTCCATAGGGATTGGAGGACACCACGGAGAACCAGCTTTTCACATACAACAGGATTGATGCAGACATGAACTCCCTGATGTTGTAAGTTAAGAAGAGAGGCACTGGAGGGAAAGATGCCATGCCACAGGGATCAAGGAGAGTATTTTTAATTAGAGAAAGGAATCATAAAATGGGAGAATAGAAATGGAGAGACAAGCTCCTGAGACAGGAGCAGCAGGAGACAGCAGAAAGGAAAGACGGGTAGAGGAAGGAAGGAGGGATAGAGAGGTAAAGAGGGAACAAATAGAGGGAGATAGAGAAAGAGAGAGATAAGGATTGGAGGAGGGCATGGTCCCTTTGTAACGGAAAATAGCGAATATACACAGATAGATTTCTTAGTGGCTACTGCTGAGAGCATTTTGTTTCAGTTCCCTAAGGACAGGCCAGTACAGATGCCCACCTATTAACAACTGAGAATCTATGACAGCATTACAGGGTCTTCACAGGTATAAACCAGGTGAAGTTGTGATGCTCACAGGGAAAGGGGACAGAAGCTATCTCCAATTGATAACTTGTTTACAAAGACAAAATATTTCTGATGTTGTCTCACTGGGCATATAAACTACTCTTAAGGAAGGTCTCATGCATATAAGTAGCAGGCCAAAAGAAAATGAACTCAGTGATATTTTGTATATTCTTTGTCTCACAATGTTTGTCAGGACTTTTTTTTCCTCCTATAGGATATATATATGTGTGTGTGTGTGTGTGTGTGTGTGTGTGTGTGTGTAAATACATTTTGACTCTCAAATGGACAAATTATAGAGCATGAAAGATACATGTATACTCAAACATAATTGTGTTGTCTTAAGCAAAGTTTCTTCCCAGGTCTCAGGGACAGATGCAGGAAAAGAGAAAAAATATTGAAGACCCACAGGTGTTGAATGCGTCCAAGGATACAGTCTGTTTCAGACACAATAATACTGGCACACACATGAACTCACTAGACTGTGGATGTAAATACAGGGCTTACACATTTTCAAGCTACATTGGGACTCTATGTGGAGAACTGTACATAGGCACTCAATCCTAAAAGAGAAACTATTTCCGATTGGTACTTAAATGCAAAGGAAAAACAATATACTTCAGAAGAATGTCATTGACTGTATTAAACACACTTCACAGCAGCAGGTCTTAAGCTTAAGATCCAAGCAAAACAAACAAATTTGTATTTTGTATGATTTTTTTCATTTCTGATTTTGTTTTGGGTGCTTGTGGGTGTTTGTATGTGTGTGTGTGTGTGTGTGTGTGTGTGAGTTTGTGAGTGAGACAGAGAGAGAGTGAGAGAGACAGAGAGAGAGACAGAAAGAGAATTTTTCTTGTGGTATTTTCTTGTGAGGGGATCAAGGATTACTGGATAAAAGGTAAATTATTACTACAATATATTGCTTAAAAACTAGTTTAGCACTAAAGGTAATTTAGAATCCTCCTTCCAAAATCACTTATTTATTGTTATTTGATTAATTATGACAGAGAGGTTAGACATAATATGTTAATTTATGTATCTGTCCTGTGCACGAACAGCCTGTTTGGAGTGTTACCAACAATTTCTGGTCAGTTGCCAACTGCACCATTGATATTTTCTGTCTTCACTGCTCAGTTGTTTTCTCAGAACATGTGCAGAGTCATCGGAGATACGTGTTCCTTTTCACACTTACTCAAACATGGAACTTCTTATAGCAAAGTTGGTATTTCAGTTAACATCATCTTATTAATTGTTATCCTAGATTGCATCATCAAGAAATGATTCATTTTCCATATCTCTCATGTAATTCTGTTTTCATTTCCAGTTGTCCTACATGATATCATCAAGTCTGTCTTCATGGCCCATGTATCTGCTGTAATTCGGATGTCATTTCCAGGGCAGGTCTCTAACATTTGGGCTCTTCCTAAGGTGGTCAAGTTTCACTTTCTCTAAGTAGAGCTGTGTCTCATTATCTATTCTTGGTAACACAGGCGTGCTTCAATACTAAGTTCAAAAATTTTTTAGCTTCTAAGAGTCACCCAGGGCCTCAGATGCATCAGTAGTTACTCATTTATACCTGTGGATCCTATTCCTATACAGGCTGTATTGTGAATGCTCAGCTCTCTTTAGTTAGAATCAAGAACAGGAGCCCCTTCAGCATGATGGGAAGAAACATCATGTTCACAAAAGCATATACAATATCCAACATATATTTTACATATGAGCTTGACTTCAACAACCCTTCCATGTAACAAGCCCTGAGTACATGAGGTAGTCAAAGCACCCACATATAGAAATGGAATATTGAGTACCATGTGACACTTGAAGCTTTTCATTTCAGGAGAATTTGTATATGATTGAAATGCATTTGACTCATGGTCACACTGATTATATCCAGACACATCCATCTACACTTCAATATACAGCATATTTCAAGGGTTATTAAGTGTGCTGACAAGTGACACATGTGCATCCATATGGACAAACATATGAGTTATATATAGTGGCACTGGATCCACTAACTCGTTGGAGATGGTAGTGAATTATCCAACTTACTGCTGTCATTCTTTAAGTTTAGAGCAAGGGCATTCAAGTATGAAAATCATTTGCCATGAGTTTACATGACTAGGAGGATGCAGAGTTTGGGGAAATTGGATCCAGAGAGAACACATTCATCATTTCCTCCCATAAAGATTGACAAAAAGGAAAGAATTATCCCTTCCAAGTCTTACATAGAAATGTACAGCCAACCCATGATACAGATGCTGTTAGCACAAAGATTGAACCACCATCCAAACTTCACTAAATTCTTGTCACTTCTCAAATTTGAAAATATTTTCTAGAGTTGGGAACATCTGCATGCACCAAATTTATTCATATCCCAGGTGTTAGTTTTCTGTCCCATGTGCAGGTTGAGGTTAGGAAATTGCTTTGTAAATGAGTTCTGTCCATCAT